TGTTGTTGTTGTTCTTGTTATTATTATTTTATTATTATTATTATTATTAATATTATTATTATTATTATTCTAAGAAATCGTTTCAAATTTCAAAACGTCCCTGCTATGCTCAACATTTTGGGTACGAAGAAAAATATTTTGGCATCTCAAACACACAATTCGGAACCGTACACAGTAAAAGACGCGTATCATTTTAGAAGATGCGTTAATTCATCAAAGTAAGCAGAGGCAGAGCACAGGTGAGGCAGCATCTTACAGGAAATACTGTTTTTGAAGCACAGGTGATCTGATATCCCAAGGGAAATAACTGAGAGAGCCGCACACCTTCCACCTGGTGCGCTGCTCACCCACCTGCCCTCCCACCTGCAGCCCAACCTTGAATTATGGCACCACCCAAGCCCTGATTTCGGAAATACAATAATCCCCTGGAGTGTTATTTAAATAAGAAAATGTAATTGAATGGATTCGTCAGAGGCGGGTTACAGCACACAGATTAAAGGGGCGAGCCAACCTCTCTCTCTCTCTCCTGAAATATTGCAGTGACGACAGGTGAAATTATCTGCCACCTGGACTGCAGAGTGAAAGTCAAGACTCTTCTAAATAACTAATTTAAATTGCATATTATAAAACTGAACGAAATGCTGAGGTAAGATTACATGCACAATATGAACGACAGAAACTAACTCATCTTATGAACTAGAAGTTGTACAGGTATAACTCCATGCAAACTTAATGTAGTATAAAATTAAAGACTTTTGAATCGTATAAACGTATAAGAATAACATAAGAACATAAGAAAGAAGGAACACTGCAACAGGCCTACTGGCCTATGAGAGGCACCTCCAATTCTCGTACCGGCTTAAGCCAATGCCTTGACCTAGTGAGGTCAGACACGCCACTTAAGGGATGAGCAGTGCATCCGACCTAGCAGCACAAGCTAGTCAGGTCCAACTCACCCACCCACACCCACTCATGTATTTATCCAACCTATTTTTAAAACTACACAACGTCTTAGCTTCTATTACGGTACTCGGGAGTTTGTTCCACTCATCCACAACTCTATTACCAAACCAGTGCTTTCCTATATCCTTCCTGAATCTGATATGTTTTCCAATTTAAAGCCATTGCTGCTAGTTCTGTCTATGTTAGATATTTTCAGCACGCTATTTACATCCCCTTTATTTATTCCTGTTTTCCATTTATACACCTCAATCATATCCACTCTAATTCTACGCCTTTCGAGAGAGTGCAGGTTCAGAGCCCTCAGTCTGTCCTCATAGGAAAGATTTCTGATACATGGGATCAACTTTGTCATCCTCCTTGTACGTTTTCCAGTGCATTTATATCCATTCTGTAATACGGTGACCAAAACTGCGCAGCATAATCTAAATGAGGCCTAACCAAGGATATATAGAGTTGAAGAACAACCTGAGGACTTCTATTATTTATACTTCTTGCTATGAAGCCAAGGATTCTCTTAGCTTTATTGCGAACACTAATGCACTGTTGTCTTGTTTTAGATTACTACTAACCAGAACTCCTAAATCCTTTTCGCAATCCGTAATATTAAGATCTACATTATTTAGTTTATATGTGACATGGTTATTTTCCTGTCCAACATTTAGAACTTTGCATTTATCTATAATAAATTGTATCTGCCACTTCTCCGACCATTGCATCAGTCTATTCAAATCATCCTGGAGTGTTCTAATGTTCTCATTAGAATGAATTGGAAGGCCTATTTTGGTGTCATCAGCAAATTTGCTGATATCACTATTTATTCCCTCATCTATGTCGTTTATGTAGATTGTAAACAACAACGGGCCCAACACTGATCCCTGTGGAACACCGCTTGTGACGTGCCCCCGTTCCGATTTCTTCCTATTTATGCAAACTCTCTGCTGCCTATTCGTCAGCCATGCCTCAAACCTGGAAAAAATTTCTTCTATTCCGTGTGCCTTAAGTTTCCTCAATAATCTCTGATGTGGAGCTCTATCGAAAGCCTTACTGAAGGTCGTATACACAATATCATATTCAATACCATGATCTACCTCCTCAAATGCCTTGGTGAAGAAAGTTAGTAAATTCATAAGACAGGAACGCCCCTTTGTAAAAGGCGCTGAGATTCATTAATCAATTTATGCCTTTCGAGATGGCTACGAATTACTTCGGCAATTTTTGATTCCATAAATTTTCCCACTATGGAGGTAAGGCTTATTGGTATATAGCTCGAAACTAAGGACCTGTCACCTGCCTTGTAAATAGGTATTACATTTGCCATTTTCCACTTTTCAGGCACTATGCCAGTTTGTAGTGATATATTGAAAAGATTAGCAAAAGGTATGCTAAGTTCCTCTTTACATTCCTTTAACATCCTTGCAAACAGTTCATCAGTACCTGGGGATTTGTTAGCTTTTAATTCTCTGTTTGTCTGAGGACCATGTCACTAGTTACCGCAGTCGTGCATAGTTTATTATCGTCCTGTTCGACATAATCTATTATTTCTGGAATTTCGCTATCTTCCTGAGTAAAAACTGAGAAGTAAGAATTGAAAATTTCACACATTTCCTTATCACTGTCAGTGATCTGACCAGAGTTACTCTTAAGTGGGCCAATCTTGTCCCTAATCTTACTTCTGTATACGTGAAAGAACCCTTTTGGGTTAGTCTTCGAATCCCTTGCAACGTTAGTCTCATAATCCCTTTTTGCTTTTTTTATTCCTTTTTTCATTTCTCTCTTTAATTGAATATATTGGTTTCTTAATTGCCCCTCCCCTCTTTTGTTACTCCTATAGATGCCTCTCTTTTGACCATTGAGATGTTTTAATTTGTTGTTCATCCATTTGGGATCATTTTTGTTAGATCTAATTTCCCTACTCGGAACAAAAGTTGTCTGGGCAGCTAGAACTATGCTCTGAAAAACGTCATATTGGCAACCAAGATCACCTACCTGACCCATAGTCAGGACATCCCAATTTAGCCCACCCAGGTAATTTTTCAGTCCCATGAAATCAGCCAATCGAAAGTCTGGGACTAAGACTTGATTGCAGTTTACTGGGTAATTCCATAATATATTGAAACTAAGTGATTTGTGATCACTTTCCCCAAGCTCATCATTAACCTCAAGATTATTAATTAGTGAATCTTTGTTGGCAAGAACCAAGTCAAGCAGATTGTTTCCTCTAGTTCATTCTGTCACAAAATGTTTTAAAAAGAAATCCTGAACCGTATAAAGAAAGTCACTAGACTCAAGATTTCCTGTCAGAATGTTCCAGTCAATTTGTCTAAAGTTAAAATCTCCCATTAAGACAACATTTTCATATCTAGATGCCTTATGAATTTCGCCCCATAGCAGCTTACTGCACTCTCTACCAAGGTTTGGGGGGCCTTTAAATCACACCCAAAATTAACTTTTCACGACCCTCGATAAACTGTAGCCAAACAAATTCTGTGTCCGATGTTTCTAATCTTATATCTTGTCTATCACAACAATTTAAATTATCTCTGATTTACATCGCCACTCCATCACCCTTCCTGTTGACCCTATCAGTATGGAATACTTTATTACCCTGTATGTTGCATTCAGAAGACATTTCTCTGTCATTCAAGTTGAACCAGGTCTCTGTTATAGCTATATCTATATTACCTGCACTTGCAAGTAATCTTAGCTCATCTATATTATTTCTTAGACTCCTACTATTTGTATAGTAAACCTTAAGGGAGCTAGTCACTCGTTGTCCTCTACTATCTCTCTTTGTTTGTTGATCAAAAGATTTGTCTTGACTAGCAACTTTATTTTGAATATTGTCTTTTATACATATCCCTGAGGTATCCTGGTTATATCTGCCGTTTTCAACCCTAGTACTGCAGCCTGATTGTTTCCCACAGACACCCATACTTCTATAATCTATCAGTTTAAAGTCCTAGACAAGTCATCAATGACCCCCGCAATCGAATTGGCTAATGCAACCACTCCATCCCCATATCACGCATACATATCACGCTTGCCATAGAATATATCCCAGTTATCAATGAATGGGACTGCAAGTTCCTTGCAGTGCCTGTCTAGCCAGCAATTTATACCAATTGCCCTAGACGTCCATTCATTGCCCACTTCCCTTCTAGGCAAGATGTTACATTTGATTAGGATCCCTCCCTTAGACCTGACTACATCTATGGCTGACCTATACTTATCCAGCAGCTCCTGTCTCCTGCCATTCCCGATGTCATTTTCATCAGCACTAAGACAGATAATGGGCTTGCTCCCATTGCCTGACATAATACTATCCAACCTGCTGACTATGTCACCAACACCAGCTCCTGGGAGACACACACCCTGTCTGATCTTTCTCTGTTACAAAATGCACGGTCCATATATCTTACCTGAGAATCTCCTATAATCAGAATATTCTTACCTTGATAAGCAGGGGAGTCAGTGGTACCTTTAATCTCACTAACCACTGAAGTACACTCGTCCTGGAGAACAGAGAATCGATTTCCTACCTTCACATCTCTATTAACCTTCTTTATTATCCTTCTTCCTGAATTGTGAACCACTTGCCACTTAAAGCGGCTGCCACTTTCCAAACTTTTTCCTCCTCACCAGCTACCACCATCCCACACTCACTCCCAAACCCATCTAGACGAAGCTTCGGCCTTCTATTTTCCTCCTGAAGAAGTAGAATCTCCTTCTTTAACACTTTAACCTGCGAATTTAAAACACTCTACAACAAGCCATGGTGCTTGGTAACACCCCACGCTAATCCCAGACAGCTTAGGGCAGGTATGACCGCACGTGACCACTGACCTGAGCGAGTATCATATTCCTTTTCTACTGTAACTTATTAAAACGAGATATGGTTCAGCAAGATACTGAGTGCTAGAAAGCGGCTGCACAGACCTACTGGCCTACGTAAGTAATTAACAAACTTTACTCTCCATAACACGAAGTGATCCAGCGCGACACCAGGTGTTGGAAGGAGGCTGAGGAGACCTACTGACCTGCAGACACAGAGAGCAATCTTGAGGGCGAGATCTTGGTTAGTTTCCAGCAGGAACTTGTAAATATCCTGAATGGAGCTCCTGCAGGCGTCCTTGTGACAGTAGGCGGTGTCGCAGTGGCTGCTTACCATCTCCAGGTGACTGAGAGAGAGAGACAGAACTTATGGTACGATAAAAGAGTGAAGTTATGCCCTTAATATACACCATGCAAATTGCTCATATTTAAATTTTGATTTAAATTATGTGCAAACATGTTTTAAGTTTGTGTTGTCTGGAAGCTTCTGCTGCTTGTCAAGGTTAGCTTTCCTATACCATATGAATTTTAACAAATTAAAAGTAACAATATATAAGTTTTTGAAAGCCTGATAAATGCGCATTTTCAACATTACACTCTGTAGACACACACACACACACACACACACACACACACACACACACACACACACACACACACACACACACACACACACACACACACACACACACACACACAAACTCATCCAAAAATGCAAAAAAAAAAAAATGACAGAGTTCAACCTGTACGACTGGATCTGGTCTTCAGCCTAGGCGATTTAGACATCGAGAAATTAACTACAGAGAATTACTAGGTATCAGATACCATTCTGTACTAAGTTTAGAATGTCGGAAATATGGATTAGTGTCCAACCAGGCTTCAGGAGATGAGACAATACTAGAGTGAGAGGCATCCGAAATGGAATGCGTGATAAAATTAAATGTAAGTCAGTCCTTGACATGATGAAGAACCTAGAAAAACATGTCCGGAGTTTACAGTAAAATTCATACCAAACAGGAGAAAAGGAAATGGGAAAATTGAAAGGATATTAATTAACAGAAACTGAAGGAAGGCCAAAGAATTGAGAAATATAGTATGGAAAAATACAGAGTTGGTGAATGACAGATAACAAGGAATTAATCAGAAGAACTAGAATCAAATATGTTAAGATATGCAAAAGAACCACAGTGAAAAAACGATATTTAAATTCCAAGCACTGTCGCAAGCGCGTGAAATATCACTATTTTTTTTCACTGTGGTTATTTTGCATACTGTGATATCACCTGTTTACTGTGACCTTATTTCATGTTAAAATATGAGGAGAGACCGAACGTTAGTTTGAGTGTCAATGGTAAAATCAGTGCCGAACTGCTTTATAGCCATATAAGAGAGAAGATGACACTTAAAGATCTAGTGATAAAACTGAAGGAGGAAGGAAATCTGAATGAACCAGACAGGGAGGCATGCCAGGAAATAAGTAGCAGATTCATTAGAGTGCTCACCGAGAAGACAAGGACAGTATCCACAGCACTAAAAACAGATCAGATGAAAATGAACTGCATCGAAATGTCGAAGCAAATAATGAAGTTGCAGAGGGCACTAGTTACCGCTAAAACTATAAGATTTAGCAATGTATCTGTAGCAATGGCGTTCTAGAAGATATTCTCTATACCAAGATTCCATGGTTTTGCTGTGTCAAACAAGTATCATTAGGGGAGAAAGAATTGAGCAAACTTATTACGACTGTACGTAACAAGTACCAGATAGTTGGAAAACTGCAAATTGGATCCAGTATGTAAGGAGGCATGATGCACTCTATTAGACGTCATTTTACTGATATGCATATTTTGCAAAGTACTTGTTAAAAAATTGGTGATACATTTGGAGACGAAAAACCAGGAAGGATATAGGGACTTCCTGCATTACGAATCTGCTGACATTTTATGATAAAATAACGGAAATTGAGCAGGAGAGAAAATGGTGGGTCTTCTGCATATTCTTGGACCGCAGGAAAGCATTAGATACAGTACCACACCGAAGGGACCTGCAAATTAAAAGATCGGGCAAGGATTCAAGGAAAAATATTATTATGGAACACTTAGTACATAAAAGACATAAGACAGATAGCGACTGTAATAAAGGAAACAATGATTGGTGGGAGTAATAAGTAGGCCCCACAAGGTTCGGTACTAGCTCCTTTACTTTTCCTAATATACGCGAAAGACTTGGTGATGTCTTAAAACGAATGAGAAGAATAAGAAATCTAATGGAAATAAACAAGGTACAAGAAGATTTCCACAATCTGAAGGAGGGTCAGACAAGTGGCGACAGACAAACGTAAGGTAATGCAAGCCATGGAGGACGAAGGAAGCTCAGATAAAATGTGTACACTGGGAGGGAAGAAGTTAAAGGAAGCAAGTAAAGGGAATAACCTGAGAGTAATTAAAGAACCAAAAGACACAATTCCATGACCGGAATAATATACAAATAACCCGCACATAATAGAGAGGAGCTTACGACAACGTTTCGGTCAGACTTGGACCATTTATAGTCACTGTAACAGAAAAGAGAGATGGTGCCAGTATATATAGGCCAGTTGGCAGGGACCGGACAAGAGAAGTTGGAGGAGTAGTAGTGTCAGTAGTAAGGCAGGTAGTGGAAGTAGTAGAACTAGCAGTGGTAGGGATAAGGCTGGTAGTGTAATTAGTAGTAGCAGTAGTAGTGGTAGTATAAAGTAGCGAGAGTGATTGGTGGGACAAGAAGAGAGAGAGGGAGTGAATGGTGAAGGGAGGCACAAGTGAAGGTAGTAGTGGAGTCGGACAAAGGCCAAGAAAGAGGAGCACTGCAGGAGAGCTAAGGGTCCACAAAGGGTAAAACCTAAAACACAGGAAGGGGGGGGGGAGGAAGAGGTAAGGGAAGGACAGAACACCCAAGGCAGAAGTAAGGAATCTCAAAGCAAGAAAAAGGAAAAATAGAAAAGAGAAGAGGTAGAAAGAGGAGAAAAAAGAATCATGTTTTCAAGTTATTAATACACAGAGTAATTAATACACAGAATATACTGTCAAAGGTTTATACAAACGGCATAGCATTAACTGCGCATGTGAGGTCATCAAATTTTAGAACTGCTTTCAAAAACCTCAATGAGGGATGCTGGAGGACGTATGTCAGACTTACCTTAGAGTGCACAGGACCGATGTGGAGTTCACACTTGAGAAATTACGTTCAGAAGCTTGAGAAACCACAAAGGATTGCAACAAGGCTGATACAAGATCTGAGAGAACTTGAACTTTGAGAAGAGGCTAAAAAATAAATCTAGCCCAGGAAGAGAAAAGAACCAGAGGTTACTCGGTAACGACGTATAAGGTATTCAGAAGTGTGGCTAGAACAAACGGTACAGACAATTTGAAATCATGAATCACGGGGGGCAGGACGGCATAAGTTGAAGCTAAGAACAAAGATGCGCCACCGATATATTAGAAATTATTTCAGTCTTAGGGCGGTAAACAAATGAAGAAAGCTGGTGAAAGCAAAGTCCGCACAAAGTTGTAAGAGTAGATATAACAACACCCACACACACGCACACGCATCTACCTCCGCAGACACTACTAGATGAATACATTACATTCACATATGCATTCTGGTAAGTGGTGACTGTCTTCATGCCTCTAGCACTAATATCATCTCGACAGAAACAGCCACAAACCTATAACACCATTCAGTAATCACCGCATGAAGGTTTTGCAACCCCCTCACTCTGGATGCGAGATTCCCTTCTCGACTCACCTTCGACACGTTGACTCCGTCATGCAGTCTTCGAGGGCTGATTGACAGGTACCAGCCACATGTTTGAGCTGCTCCAGAGACAAGTTGTGGTCAGACTCTGTACCGCGTCACCAACGGGGAAAGAGGAACAACAACATTATCACACGGGGAGGAAATGGAACTCATAAGCAATGGTAATGTATGCTTTGTTTGTCCCCATGTAACGTTGTCTTCGTATATCTGACCGTGAATTTTAGAGAAACTGTAAATGCTATCGTGGGTCATCGAATTTGTTATATTAATCAGATTAACTGTACTTCAATTGATTTGGCAGTGAATAAGTTATTTAATCAATTGTCATGAATTAAAATTATTAATTAAATTATTGTATTTATGTTATTTACCTATTTTATGATCATACATTACCCATGAGACATATGTATCAACAACAGACACGTGTTTATAGATTTCTAACATAGAGAGTGCAAGAGCTGCATTTTCTACTACCATTAACAGATGATTGGTCACTACTACTGTTAACAGTGTGCAAGAGTTGCATTTTCTACTGTTGGTAATTCTTCAGTGCGTCAGGCAAGACTTTGTGCTCCTACACCATCATGCTTTCTCCATGCTTTCACTGGGCTGCCTAAAAACAGACAAATCTGCAGGCAAAATACTGTTTTCTCGTTGAGCAACACTTGCGTATCCTTGATGAAGGCTGAGGTGATGAGGGTTGTTGGAGGGTAGGTGTGAGGCAAGCAACAAGAGGAGTGGTAGAATATCCCTGCTGTGGTGTGGGTCGTTGGGGTTGAGGTGAGGCAAGAGGAGTGGCAGAGCCTTCTTGCTATAGTTGCGGGGGGGGGGGGGGGTAGGTTGTTGGGATAAGGCAAGGGAAGTGGGGAGCCTCGCTGCTATGGTGTGAAGTTGTTAGGGTGAGGCAAGGGAAGTGGGGAGCCTCGCTGCTATAGTGTAAAGTTGTTTGGGTGAGGCAAGGGAAGTGGGGAGCCTCGCTGCTATGGTGTAAAGTTGTTAGGGTGAGGCAAGGGAAGTAGCAGCATCTCGCTGCTCTGGTGGAGGTTGCTGGGGTTGAGGTGAGGCAAGAGGAGTATTAGAACCTCGCAGCTGTGGTGTGGGGTTGCTGGGGTGAGGCGAGAGAGTTGCACTCTGTAAAAAGTATTGCCGTGAACTCCACTGCAGGAGATTTTTTTGCACTTCATAAACGCCATGGCAGAGACCGAGTGAAGATCACTATTATTTTTGTTTATTATATGTCTCTTAACCGAACGCCAGTATCGAAGCCTTACCTTCGTAGTGCTGCCAGCCACTGCTCGAGTGTCCATCCCTCTACACACACACACACACACACACACACACACACACACACACACACACACACACACACACACACACAGTACATCATTCATTTATAAAGTAACAGAGTGGCTTCAGTAAAAAAATAATGTCCAGTTGTCTTATGGATGATAAATCAAAACGATAATATTGGCAAAAAGTGTGTTACGGCATACTGAAGGGTTAGTATTGATACTGGTCACCAGGGCAACCCAAGGTGCAGCGATTACAAAAAAAAAAAAAAAAAAAAACGTTCAAAATATGGATCGATGGGTTCACAAATACTGAAATAGTTTTTATTATTTTATTGATGTGAAGCGCTAAAGCCTTATGGATCATTCAACACACTGAGCTGGAGGCTCGATCCTCTGTTCACTAATGGTGACTCACAACATAACATATAAAGAGTATGCAACTAAAATTGGACAAGACGAGAAGAGGTTGAAAATGACTGAAATAATTAAGACGAACAGTGAGCAAGGAAAACATTGGACTGATATAAGTATCTGATATATTACAATGTAGAACCAATATAAAATAAAAAAGAAATATAGATTATTTATACTTAAGTATAAGGAACCCGAGAAAATGGAAAGGCAAGAGTCGTGAAGATAATGAATGATAATGTGAAATAGATGTAAGAAATTGAAATAACTCTTTAAACGTTGTTTAAAACATATATTAGAGAAAGTTATATTATTCAAGAAAAAAAAGGGGTAAAAAATTAAGTAGTCAGAAAGGTAGGAAAAGAAATAAATTTTAAAAGAAAAGAGAAAACTCTGAATAAATAATCTTGAAGACAAAAAGAAAGATGGTTAAGAAACTAACAATAAAAAAAGTTTATAAAGAAAACAACTGAAAGATGTAGAAGAAAATGAACAATGCCATTAAAAATTATGCACGAGAAGAAAAAAAATAATGAGGAGCATTGATTCCAGAGAAGAAACTCTGGCATTGATGCCAGAGAAGAAACTCTGGCATTGATGCCAGAGAAGAACTCTGGCATTGATTCCAGAGAAGAAACTCTGGCATTGATGCCAGAGAAGAAACTCTGGCATTGATTCCAGAGAAGAAACTCTGGCATTGATTCCAGAGAAGAAACTCTGGCATTGATGCCAGAGAAGAAGCTCTGGCATTGATTCCAGAGAAGAAAACTCTGGCATTGATTCCAGAGAAGAAACTCTGGCATTGATGCCAGAGAAGAAACTCTGGCATTGATTCCAGAGAAGAAACTCTGGCATTGATGCCAGAGAAGAAACTCTGGCATTGATGCCAGAGAAGAAACTCTGGCATTGATTCCAGAGAAGAAACTCTGGCATTGATTCCAGAGAAGAAACTCTGGCATTGATGCCAGAGAAGAAGCTCTGGCATTGATTCCAGAGAAGAAACTCTGGCATTGATGCCAGAGAAGAAACTCTGGCATTGATTCCAGAGAAGAAACTCTGGCATTGATGCCAGAGAAGAAACTCTGGCATTGATGCCAGAGAAGAAACTCTGGCATTGATTCCAGAGAAGAAACTCTGGCATTGATGCCAGAGAAGAAACTCTGGCATTGATTCCAGAGAAGAAACTCTGGCATTGATTCCAGAGAAGAAACTCTGGCATTGATGCCAGAGAAGAAGCTCTGGCATTGATTCCAGAGAAGAAACTCTGGCATTGATTCCAGAGAAGAAACTCTGGAATTGATGCCAGAGAAGAAACTCTGGCATTGATTCCAGAGAAGAAACTCTGGCATTGATGCCAGAGAAGAAACTCTGGCATTGATGCCAGAGAAGAAACTCTGGCATTGATTCCAGAGAAGAAACTCTGGCATTGATGCCAGAGAAGAAACTCTGGCATTGATGCCAGAGAAGAAACTCTGGCATTGATGCCAGAGAAGAAACTCTGGCATTGATTCCAGAGAAGAAACTCTGGCATTGATGCCAGAGAAAGAAACTCTGGCATTGATTCCAGAGAAGAAACTCTGGCATTGATGCCAGAGAAGAAACTCTGGCATTGATTCCAGAGAAGAAACTCTGGCATTGATTCCAGAGAAGAAACTCTGGCATTGATGCCAGAGAAGAAGCTCTGGCATTGATTCCAGAGAAGAAACTCTGGCATTGATTCCAGAGAAGAAACTCTGGCATTGATGCCAGAGAAGAAACTCCGGCATTGATGCCAGAGAAGAAACTCCGGCATTGATGTCAGAGAAGAAACTCCGGCATTGATGCCAGAGAAGAAACTCCGGCATTGATTCCAGAGAAGAAACTCTGGCATTGATTTCAGAGAAGAAACTCTGGAATTGATGCCAGAGAAGAAACTCTGGCATTGATTCCAGAGAAGAAACTCCGGCATTGATGCCAGAGAAGAAACTCTGGCATTGATTCCAGAGAAGAAACTCCGGCATTGATGCCAGAGAAGAAACTCCGGCATTGATGTCAGAGAAGAAACTCCGGCATTGATATCAGAGAAGAAACTCCGGCATTGATGACAGAGAAGAAACTCCGGCATTGATGTCAGAGAAGAAACTCCGGCATTGATGTCAGAGAAGAAACTCCGGCATTGATGCCAGAGAAGAAACTCCAGCATTGATGTCAGAGAAGAAACTCCGGCATTGATGTCAGAGAAGAAACTCCGGCATTGATGTCAGAGAAGAAACTCTGGCATTGATGCCAGAGAAGAAACTCCGGCATTGATGCCAGAGAAGAAACTCCGGCATTGATGTCAGAGAAGAAACTCCGGCATTGATGTCAGAGAAGAAACTCTAGCATTGATGTCAGAGAAGAAACTCCGGCATTGATGCCAGAGAAGAAACTCCGGCATTGATGCCAGAGAAGAAACTCCGGCATTGATGTCAGAGAAGAAACTCCGGCATTGATGTCAGAGAAGAAACTCTAGCATTGATGTCAGAGAAGAAACTCCGGCATTGATGCCAGAGAAGAAACTCCGGCATTGATGCCAGAGAAGAAACTCTAGCATTGATGTCAGAGAAGAAACTCTAGCATTGATGTCAGAGAAGAAACTCCGGCATTGATGCCAGAGAAGAAACTCCGGCATTGATGCCAGAGAAGAAACTCCGGCATTGATGTCAGAGAAGAAACTCTAGCATTGATGTCAGAGAAGAAACTCTAGCATTGATGTCAGAGAAGAAACTCTGGCACTGATGTCAGAGAAGAAACTCTGGCATTGATGCCAGAGAAGAAACTCCGGCATTGATGCCAGAGAAGAAACTCCGGCATTGATGTCAGAGAAGAAACTCTAGCATTGATGTCAGAGAAGAAACTCTGGCACTGATGTCAGAGAAGAAACTCTGGCACTGATGTCAGAGAAGAAACTCTGGCATTGATGTCAGAGAAGAAACTCTGGCATTGATGTCCGAGAAGAGAAAGCATTCTTTTTTTACTTCCCATTCTCCTAGCACTCTCTGACCCTTCCAGGTACAGCGCTCCACCATGTATATAAAAATAATGCTTAAAACTGAGGAAGTATTGAAACTATTACAAAAAAGCTGAAGATACAAGGAAAACGTAAACATTGAATAAAAAATATGACTGAAATGTGTACAACGCTGAATGATTTAGCATTATCTAGCGATTTATTGCGAATATTTAATAATAATAATGAATTATTATTATCATTCTTATTCACAACTAACCTTCATTAATAATATTTGAATTAATTACAGTAAGGGACTGATCACATCAAAATTTCCACTTCGCTTCTTTCCACTGTCTTCCGTGTGGTAATCGCCTCTACATTGGACTGAAGAAACCTGCTGTACAGACGAAA